TTTTTAATAATCTATTTTTATATATTGTATTTTTTGAAGAGTTTTTTTCAAAAAATTTACTAAATATTTCTTTTTTATCAGTTATTAAATTGTATTAATAATAATATATATTCATTATTTATCTAACTTATAACTGGATTACTTATTTATTAACAACAAGAAAATATTTATATTTCAAAAATAGATATAATTTTATAGAATAATTTTGGACAAATATATTCAATTTTATCAATAGAATTAATTATCAATTTACTTAAAAACTATAATATTTTCATAGAATTAAACTAATTAAAACTATTTGTATTTTCATATTTTTATATTTGATAATTCTAATATTAATATAGCATCTTATTAATAAAATTAATTAATTAATTACTAATTAACAATTAGTAATTTATCTGATCAATTACTATAAGAAAAAGATAAAATTAATTCTATCATATATATAATCAAAATATTGTTATTAAATTATTAAATTAATATTTTGTTATAAACTAATCTTTTAATATTTTTGTTATAATTAAATTATTTTGGAATTTTTTTCTTGTAAGAAGAATAAAGTAAAAGAATCTTTGTTATTTTTATTATTTAATTAATTCTAAAATATATTTATACTAATATAGAAAATTAAAAAATTAGTGAATTAATTAATTATTTAATTAGTATAATTAATTAAAATATTATATATAATTAAAATACTATTATTTTGCTCTTTATACTTTCATTTTTTTTGAACTATATAATTTTAGTAAAAGTTAAAATAAAATTTAAATATATTTTTCTTATTATTCTTATATTTGTTTAATTCTTTTTTTTTAATTTTTGTTTATATTTATTAGCTAATTTTACAATTAGTAAAAAATATGTAACAATATAATAATAAAATTTTATTATAATAACAAAATTTTTTTGAATTATTTATAATATTATAATATAAAATATATAAATTTTATTTTTATTAATAAATATTTTTTGTTTTTATAATGCACATTCCTACATTATATTACTGGAAATTGAAAAAAAAATATAATAAAATTGATATTATTGCTTTATATTAAAATTTGTTATTTTATTAATAAAATAACAAATTTTAATATAAAGCAATAATATCAATTTTACTATATTTTACTATTTTTTTTCAATTTTTAATAATATAATATAGGAGTGTGTATTAATTTTATTAAAATAATTATTATATTTTGAATTATATACTAACTTTTTGATAATATTAATAATAATAATTAATTAAATTATAAAAAATTAATATATAATACAAAAATTTAAAACCAAATAAACAAAGATATATTTTAAAAAAAGCTAGTAACTCAAAATTTAAATTATAAATTTATTTTTTTATTTTAACAAAAAATATTTCTTGTTATTTGTTAAATAATTTTGATTCAAATTCAAACTTTAATACTTTTTATATTATTAATATCATTAAAAATTATTATATAATTTGCAAATATATTAATTATTCTAATAAATTCCAATATATTAAATTTATATATTTTTTATAAATATAAAAATAAAATAAAAATTAAAAAATAAAATAATTTATTATATAACAAATAAAAATAAAAATGTAAAATAAAATTAAAAATAAAATATTTTTTATAAAAAATTTTTGTTATTTTTAAAATTTTTAATTATTCTAAATTTATATTATCTTATTAAACTTAAAATAAATTAATTATTAATTATAATAATATTTTAAAATTTAATTAATAAAATAAAATTTTAAAAAAACTTTATATTAATTTAAAAAGAATAATTAAAATTATTTTTATAATAATAATAATAATTAATTTTTATTATAACTATAATATTTATAATAAATTATATAATTCAAATATATTTTGACAAAATATTACAAAAAATTATCAAACTTAAAATAATTAAAATAATTAATTTAATAATAATAATAATTATTAATTAATTAAAATAAATATTATATCTACAAATAAATTATTCTAAATACATTTTTCTTGGAATTATAAATTATATATTTAGAAAATATATATTTATAAAGGACAAAATATATAGAGCTTTTATAAGCTAAAGAAAATTTGTTTATATTTAATTTATATCAAAAAAACTAATATTTAAAATATTAAATTAATAAATTTAATATATTTTTTATTGTTTTTATTTTTCAAAAAATATTACTTTTTTAAATTACTTTTTGCTTTTTTAAAATTATTTTATTTTATAAATCACTTTTTACTTTACTTTTTATCTTTTTATAAATTATTATTTAATTATAAGCAAATTTATAATAATATTAAAATAATACTTTTTTTATAAAATTTCTGAATTTTTATTACAAAAATTATATATAATTATATTATATTTTTTGTATTTCTAAAAAATATTAAGTTTTAATTTTATAATTTTATTAAATATTTATAAAAAATATATTTTAAATAAAAATAATAAAAAATTAAGTAATTTCATAAATTTCTTTTATTTAATAATCAAATAATTAAAATTATTTTAATATTATTAAGTTTATTATATATATTATTTAAAGTCATTAAATATTTATATTTATAAAATAGATAAACTTCTTTACTAAGAAATAAATACAAAATTTAATCTATAAATATACTTAAAAAGAGTCTATTTTATCATATTTATAAATTAAATTTTGTATTTACTTTTTAGTAAAGAAGTTTATTCATTTTATAAAATATAAATATTTAATAACTTTAGATAATATGCATTATATTTACAAAATAAATAAATATTATTTGTTATTATTAAATAATAATAATAATAATTCAAGATATTTTACTAGAAATTCACAATATAAATTTTTATATTTAAATTTTTTATAAAAAAATATTAATAATTATTAAAAATATTTTTTATAAATAATTTTATTTGAAAAATCAAAAAAGCTTGATATATATTTTATAATATTAATTTAAAAAATATTTCTTATATAAATTTATATATTCTCAATTATTTAATAAATTTTATAACAAAATAAATACTAGAATTCTTAAAAAAAATCTGATTTAGTTCAATCTTGAACAATTTAAATTCAATTAAAAATCTAGTTCAAATTTAATTCAAATTTTGAACTATACTTAAATTTGATTAAATATATAATTTGAGTTCAAATAAATATTTAATTAAATTTTAAATAAAATTGTAAATCAAATTAATATTAAAAATAAATATTTAAAGAACTATATAAAGTTAAAAAATATTTTTAATTATTATAATTTCAATTCATTTAGTTATAATATAGTAAATATTTATTTTTTAATAAAAATTATAAACTATAATTCTAAACAAAGTTATAACTAAAAATAAAAACTATAATTGGTATAAAATAATCGATATTAATAATAAATATTTGAAGAGTTATGTAGTATTTACAATAAATTTCAATAAACATAAAAATGAAAATAGCTCAAGTTTAAAGCTACCAATTAATATATAATACTATATACTAATCTTGAACTGAACTCAAACCAAACTCAAACTGAATTCAAACCAGGTTCAAATTCATACAATAGTTCAGTTTGAGTTCAGTTCAAATTTTGAATCAGATTCAAAAATCCAGTTTAGTTCAATTCATAGGAATACTAATGGGCATCATGAATCTTTGTTTTTAACATTATTAATTGTTGCATGTCATTTATGTTCTTAGCACACTTCAAATAACTATAAATAAATTTTCCAGAAAGACACTCTCCATTTTTACTATAAGCAATCTGTTTAGCATCAATGCTAAATAATTACTTTTTCATGATTAAGAATTGCATACATTTCATGTCTCTTAATACAATGGTATTTTGCAATTAATGCATTTATTTGAGAGACATAGTCCATTTCGTTCTATAGCAAGTTTATTTTTACTCAAATAAATATAATTTCCATTCAATAACTAAATTACAAAAGAAAATAATTTATCACAGTATGACATGGAATAAAACCCAATATCGATATAGTTTAACGTACGTAGTTGACAGCAATATGTGATACACAACCAGAAAACAAATGATGTTAAAAAAAAGAATACGTAGTACATGTACATGTATTATTATGCTAAGTTTTATCCTGTGTTTTGAAATAATAGCAACTATCGATGATAAAATAAAATGTTTAAATCAAGCCAATATTTTAATCTGACAATAATGTATTATAGTAGCCATTTTTATGTGGTAACTTTCGCACTTGGTTCTGAATGAAAATTGCTGAAAGAAATTTAACTTGATTACACATCGATACAAGTTACAATTGAAAAACACGTATTGTTATTTAATAGAAATGATTTTAGTTAAAATGCTAATCACCGACTTTATTTGTTTGACGTATCCCCGTTCCTGCTTAAATATTTGAATTCGGTATTGAAAGAGCTTCTTCCTGTAGTCTTGTGTACCAATAGAGTAAAAAAGCGACATGCGACTAGTTCATTATAACGGTCAATAAATTGACCGCGGTTTATAGTTTATCATTTATTCTTTATTACATGTACTATTAAAATCTAATACATACCTTGTTCACCGAATTCTTTTGATACATGTACATGTGAATATTTATGTAGAAGTGTAACAGTAACTGTTTATACCGTCAAACCGTCGGTTGACCGGTTAATCATTAACCGATTTCAAACACTACTTGGAAGATGGTACGTTACCTAGGCGTTTTTTGTCTCCTCGGAACTCGCATTGTTTAGTGACACTCAAGCATAATTAGCTCAGAGAAAAAACCGGATTAAAAATAATAAACAAAATATAAGTTGAAATCACTCAGGTATTTGAAACATTGATAAAAATAGTCATCCCCCATATAATCACACCCTCGAGACCAGAAAGTGTGAGTCTAAAGAGGGAGTGATTATATGGAGGGACAACTGTAGCTTTTTTATCGCATAATATTTCCATGCAGTAACGAGATATCAATATATATATCCATTATTCACTGCTTTATGAAGGTATTTTTTCACGCCTAGCCTAAATTATAAGCGATTCGAATCCTTTAATTTACTGCTTGTTAATCGTAGTCTTGCGATGCTCGAGGATGAATTGTGCATGAAGATTATTAGTTTCTGCAGCTTTTTTAGATCTTGTTCCCTGTTTTAACATTTAAATATAATACTCTACGAATTACTTGATTTTTCAAAAAAGGTCTTTTAGCATAATTTATTAGCACTCGATTAATATTATTGGCATTGAGCATTTCTATTTCCACCATAGTTTATTACTTTGCTATATCAGATACTAACGCACATAAACATTCTGCACTATTAAGCAGAATAAATTTGTATATTCTCATTACCAGTTTAAGCCGCACCGATTTTAAGAATATTAGTATAGATGTCGCAATTTTAGTTTACGAAAACTACAGGTTTAAATTGCTGCGTTAACAATAAGATTATCTCCAAAAGAGTTGAAGCGAATTGAGAACTGTTTGATCTTTTTCATATAAACATGTAAACTTTGATTTATACATGTAGGTAGATTGTTCAAACGCATTATAATTGGCATAACGATAATGATAGAAATCTAAATATTCAAAATATACATTGGTTGCCAAAAGTTATGCATCACGAAAAGTTTCTAACGCCCTCAGCATCGATTCAAAACTCGTTTTAAATCCAATATTATTAATTCCATCTTGGGAAAATTGAGAGATCTACACGATTTTTTTTTATTTAGTGAAAGTTTAACATCGAATATTATTTTCAAGGCAAATCCGGAAAAGTCCGACTAATTAAAAATGTTTTCTACCTACATGCATGCAAGTCTTCAGCCAAATCGGCGCGTTGGTTATTGTGATACAAGCTTCCGAATGTTGAAATTTCAAATTCAACATATGTGAAACGTTGAGATTTGTAAGCTTATACATGTATCACAATAGCCAACGCGCCGATTTGGCTGAAAACTTGCATGCATGTAGGTAGAAAACATTTTTAATTAGTCGGACTTTTCCGGATTTGCCTTGAAAAAAATATTCGATGTCAAACTTTCACTAATTAGATCTCAATTTTTTAGATTATTACGTAGCTTTAAAATGAGTATAGAAGCTATGGGCTGCCGAGGGCGCTAGAATTTTTTGCGTAAAACTTTTCGTGATGCATAACTTTTGGCAGCCACTGTACATGTATATGCAACTATTAATAAAACGTTGTAAAGAGAAAAAATACTTTTAATATTAATCCATTCAAAATTCAACATGTATAACACGCCTAACTTTCATATTAAACAAAACACACACTATATGTCTTTTGATATCATTCTCTTCGAGAAAAGATTCCGATTTGTATCATCTGTAAAATTAAATTTTGACGTTTAAAAAGGAATGATCCTGGAGTTTGATATTTTGCACGTGATAACAGAAGAAAAATCTGCAACAAATTTCTGTCAATACCAACAGTTTCATCTTCAAGTTACTATATATAAATTATATAATTTCATAATAACTAAATATTCAGATTATAATAATAAAAATAAATAATAATTAAATTAAATTATTATTAAAAGTAAAATTTTTGTTTGCATATCATTATCTTGATTAGACAAATATAAAGTTAATTACTTATATAAATTTTTTGTAAACAAAAATCATACTCTTAAAATTATTTAATAAAATAAAAAAAATCAATTATTTAATAATATAAAATATTTTAATTATAAAATTATTTTTATTTAAAAATATCAATAAAAATTTAGTAAACATATTATTAATTATTTTTTAATAATAAAAAACTCTGATTTAATTTATTAATTAATTATTAATTTAAATATAACAGTAATAAAAAAGATTAATAAATATAATAAAAATATGAAAATACAAATTTTTCTCTTTATATAAAAGTTTTCAATTTTACTAATAAATAATTTTTATTTTTATATCAAAATAAAGATAATATTATATATTTTAACATATATTTTTTTCAGATTTACTAATAATATTTTTTTATTTTTATATTAAATAAAATTCTAATTTATATATTTTAATTGAATTTTTAGATTTAATCTGACAAAGTTATTTTAATTACAAAATTATTATAAAAATTTTACTGTAATTAAAATAACTTTATTAGATTAAATTTAAAAAATTCAGAATAAATATATATTAAAATATTTATTAATAAAATTGAAAACTTTTATATATATATACAATTTCATAATTTAATTAGTTAAAGATAAATTATTAATATTTTTATAATTTTCAAATTTCTTAATTTTTATTATTATATTTTTGGATTTGTAAATATTCAAATTTTCTTTTATAATAAATTATATACTTTAAACTTGAAATAATAAAATAAATCTTGAACAAGTTTATAAATCAGAAAATAATTTTCTTATTTATTTTAATGTTTAATAAAATATAATTGTATATTAATCAAACTAATGCAAGTTACCAAGTAATTCTTAATTAGGAACAAATAATAATTCAATAAATAATCAAGAAAAATCTATTTTATTGTTTTATTTTATTAGATTGGATTAAATTTTGTAGTTAAGTTTATAGAATTTAAAACATATAATTTATTGTCCAATACCAAATTGAACTTTGATAATTGTACATGTATAATGCAAACAGTTTAAAGACATCCAATATTTTGACTATTTTTAGAATGCAAAGGATTTTTATGTGAACTTTAAATGTAAAAAAAAATACGTCATTAAATTACCATTTTTACCAATTTTGATAGTCAAATTTTTCGAGATTACGTTGTATTTCGAGACTACCCAATTTTGGTTATTAGTAGTGTACAGATCATCAGGATCGGATTTTCCGGTAACGGAGTTTTGATCACTGCGCATAATAGAAGCTTCCACGCAGTGATCATACTGGACTTAGTCCAATACTGTGCACTGGGCTTAGTGATAAGACTGCTTCCACGATAATGTGTTAATTATCACATTTCATCATATCGTAATTCACGTTTTATCTCTTTTAGATATCATAGAGATATACACAAGCGTACCTATTGTACCCATATAAATATACAAACGAACAATTTCCACGTGCAGATCTTCAAATTATTTATTCTCATTTGTTTTTTTCCTATTCTGATACGTGTCATGGCAAAATATAATGCCTCGGCCCGCGGCCGACCGGAATTTCTATCCATTATTTATTCGTAATGGCGCTATTTTATTTTATGTAATTGAAAATGGCACCTTTTTAGAGTCCCGCAGTACATGTATAGAAAATCTTAATTTCTAAGATTTTCGTTATTTCAATCATGTCACAAAGCATAACAAATAATACGCACATCGGAAATATTTCCCCTACTGAATATTACATGTACGTATTGTTTTCTATGTGCGTTTCACAAAAAATAACGAATGCTGAATTTTGCCGCCTAATTAAATTAATATTCGCGAAGTGTCCGTTAAAGAATATGGAAAGAATGAAAGAACGAACGAACAAATGAACGAACGAACGAACAAATGAACGAACGAACGAACAAATGAACAAACGAACGAAGTTTGGAAGATCAGATTCTTTAATGTTAAATTTCCAATGAAAGAATCAATGATAGAATCAATCCCATCAATATGCACATGTGCAAGAATTAAAGTTTTTTATTATGCTATTGTATTATTGTATTGCAAATTTAATTATATATTTTATTTACTTTTTATTTATTTATTGCCTTTTTTCGTCTACAAATATGACGCAGTAACAGAATAAGGAAAAAACTAATAAAAGAATAAAAGAGTATTTTTTTTAGTGCTGATTAATAACAATCATAGTTAAACAATAAAAATTTACGAAAAAAACAAATTAATCTTTAAAAGAAAATGTCTGTTAATTCTGACATACATACGGCGACTACAACTACATATATTGCAGAAGAAGGAGGTGATGTTTCGTTATACATCTTTCTGTTATTGTCACCAATAAAATTCTTTATCTTAATTCAACTTTTGCTTTTACCTTTGATATTAACTAATAGAACATAAAAATGACAAGGAGGATAGTAGCCAAACCGACATTGACATCGATTACTCTATCGTAGACGCACTACCGCCCGTTCTAAAAAAGCAATTATCAGAAAAAAAAGAAAAATCCGAAAAACTAAAAGACGATCAAACAATTGGAAGTAGTGATGATGACGAAGACAAGACAAAAAAACCACCAACTGTCGGCTTATTTGAACTATTCAAATTCTCAAATGGAACTGACAAACTATTAATGTTGATTGGTTCTCTTGGTGCAACTGTAAATGGGACGATACTTCCATTGATGACGATTTTCTTTGGAAGGTTTATCACAGCGTTTGGTGTTTACGCGCTAGCTGTGAGAACGCAACCTGCTGATACTTTAGCGGATGCGAAACAGACTCTTGAGGATGAAATTAAGGAGAATATTCTATTTTTTTTAGCTCTAGGGGTTGCTGCTTTTGTGTCTTCGTATGTACAAATGACATGTTGGATGATAGCTGGTGAAAATCAGGCAAAGGTATTATTTGCTTTTTTCGTATTCTATGTTTTTAAAGATTTTTCTAATAAATTTGAATTCAAATAATATTAACATAGCGAGTACGTGAATTTTATTACGCGGCATTATTAAGACAAGATATTTCATGGTTCGATGCAATGTCAACCGGTGAAGTCACTACTCGAATTACAGCCGATACGAACATATTTCAAGAAGGAGTTTCGGAAAAAGTCGGCATGATTATACAATATATCGTTACTTTTATTAGCGCTTTTGTCATTGGTTTTGTTAAAGGTATTTTATTTTTTTATTTTCGCGAGTTTGGTCATTTTTAAGATAATTTACAAAATAATAAAAAAATTTTAGGATGGAAACTTGCACTTGTTCTCTGTTGCGTTATTCCGTTATTAGCGCTTGCTGGTGGTGCAATGTCGAAAGCTATGGCTGAGACTACTACTGATGGACAAGGTTTGTTTTCTTTCTTTCCTAGTGTATTCTTTCATTATTGAAGTTAAAAAATTCTAACTTTGTAATAATTTCGATAATTAGATGCACACGCTGGTGCAGGTGCAGTAGCAGAACAAGCAATATCCGGCGTACGAACAGTCTTCGCATTCGGTGGTGAAAAACACGAAATAAAAAGATACTTTGCACAACTACAAGTCGCATACAAATCCGGAAAAAGGAAGGCGATCATAAGTGGACTGGGTCTCGGCTCAATTTTCCTAATCATGTTCTGTACATATGGTCTCGGTTTCTGGTACGGCAGCCGACTGGTAGAAAGAAGAGAAAAGACTGGTGGGGAAGTACTGAATACATTTTTCGCGGTAATGTTTGGCGCTTTCACTTTGGGAAATTCTGCACCTCATTTCTCCGCTGTTGGAAAAGGATTGGGTGCCGCCGCGTCATTGTTTAGCGTGATTAGTCGCGTACCTCCGATTGATGTCTCTTCGGAAAGCGGAAAGAAGCTAGTGAAGTCCCAAGTGAAGGGTAGGATGGAATTCCGAAATCTCAATTTTCATTATCCACAACGACCGGATGTTCCCGTTTTGAAAAACTTCTCTCTTACTATTGAGCCTGGACAGACAGTTGCATTGGTTGGAAGTTCTGGATCGGGAAAATCAACAATTGTCGGTTTATTGGAACGGTTTTATGATCCAATCAGTGGATCAATCTTATTAGACGGTGATGACATTAAAGATATTAATATAAAATCGTTGAGGACGCAAATTGGTCTTGTTGGACAAGAACCCGTTTTATTCCCAGAAACTATCGCACAGAATATCAAATGGGGAGGAATGCCGAATGAGAAGGAACCCTCGTTAGAAGAGGTTATCGAAGTATGTAAGAAAGCGAATGCAAACGAATTTATTGAAGAATTGCCGGATAAGTATGATACTTTAGTAGGGGAAAAAGGTTCTCTATTATCGGGTGGACAGAAACAACGAATTGCGATTGCACGTGCATTGATTAAAGATCCGGCAATTTTATTACTTGACGAAGCGACATCTGCTCTTGATAGTGAATCTGAACGACTTGTACAGACAGCACTTGATGCTGCAAGTACTAATCGTACTACTATTGTAGTCGCTCATCGTCTATCCACGATAAAAAATGCTGATAATATTGTGGTGATGTCGAAAGGAGAAATAGTCGAAACAGGAAAACATGATGAATTGATTGAGCGAAAGGGAATGTATTATGACTTGGTAAAAGCGCAAGAACTTAAAACACAAAAAAAATCAGAAGAGGAGGATGATGACGAAGAATTATCAATGATTAGTGATCTAGAGGACGATACTGCAATAACAATTGAGGAAAATCTAGCTCATAAAGACACACTACGTCGCATGTCCACCAAAGCAACTGTACTCTCCACGAAAACAAACGAAGAATTACGTGCAGAAGAAGAAGCTGAAGCTGCTAAAAAGAAAGCACCATTTGGCCGCGTGGCAAGATTAAATGCTTCGGAATGGCCACTTATCTTGGCTGGTTCATTTGGGTCTTCGCTATTTGGTGCACAGATGCCATTGTTCTCGGTGGTTTTCGCGCATATTTTGGAGACATTAACCAAACTTGATGATCTTCCTACATTAAGAAAAGAATCGAATTTTTGGGCGGGGATGTTTGTGTTGCTTGGCCTTGTGGCTTTTATTGGAAATTTCCTAAATTTGTGTTGTTTCTCGTTAAGCGCGTATGTATTTTTATTATATCCATATTATGTTAGTATTTCAGTTAATTTCTTACGCGTCTTTTATTCTTGTTCTCTTATTATAATTCTAGCGAGAGATTGACGCGTCGTCTTCGAGACATGGCATTCAGAGCAATAATGGCACAAGAAATCGGATTTTTCGACGAAGAAAAAAACAATACTGGAGCATTAACTTCAAAACTTGCGGGTGACGCGTCAAAAGTTGAAGGATTAACTGGAAGGTAATTTTAATATTTAATTATACTTATTTAGATGAAATAAGTTTATCTGGTCATATATATTAATAATTTATCATATTTAGTTTATTGGGAACCGTGGTTCAAACTATTGTCGCCATGAGTGTTGGTATGGTAAGTATTTTAATTGAGTTAATGATTATTGAAAAGTCTGAATTATATAATTTATTTGTTTTTTGCTTTTTATTTAGATTATTGCATTTGCTAATGGTTGGAAATTAACCCTTGTCGTGTTGTCTGCGCTTCCTCTTGTTGTTTTTGCCGGACTATTTCAAATGAAGACTTTAGCTGGATATGGACAAAAGGTAGTCACATTTATAATAAAAACTCAAAGAAGGATTGATTTTTTTAATCTTATCTATTTGCCTTTTAACAGACTGCCAAAGCATACGAAGATTCTGGACAAATCGTACAACAATCCGTATCAAACATGCGAACTATCGCCGCATTAAGTCGTGAAGAATCGTTCAAAGTACTGTATGGCCAGTCACTCGAAGAACCACACAAGATTGCCGTCAAGGGCTCGATATTTTCGTCATTTGGGTTCGGACTTTCGCAGGCCGTTTTATACTTTATTTGGAGTTTATCGTTCTGGTAAGTAATAATTCACAATTAATCGTATAGATTGTTACAAATTATGATGGATCGATAAATCGATTGATTAATTAATTAGGTATGGCTCAAGATTACAAATCAGCGGTGAATACAGCAATAGTCAAATGAATAATGTGTTATTTACTGTAGTGTTTTCAGCTTTCGCGTTGGGTCAGATTGGGTATGTTTATCAAAATGATATCTAAAAAAATGTTTTAAATAATCACGAACTAATTTTTTTTAATAAAAATAAATTATATAGAGCATTCGCACCAAATGTTGCTAAAGCAAAAATTGCAGCAATCGCTATATTCGAACTCGTTGACCGTAAATCATTAATCAATGTCTCGGAAACCTTAGAAAACGATCGTCCAACACCAGTAACAGGCACCGCCAGCGCACACGGTGTACGATTCAACTACCCCGCACGGCCAGATGTTCCAATCTTACGTGGCTTCGATTTATCAGTACTCGCTGGAAAAACTGTAGCAATCGTCGGTTCATCCGGATCAGGAAAATCGACAGTAGTCTCACTGGTATTACGGTACTATGACGTTGCGTCGGGAAGCGTAAAAGTCGAGCATGTCAATGTCCGAGAGTGGAATTTAGAGTATTTACGTTCAAATATGGCGTTAGTTGGTCAAGAACCTGTGTTGTTTGATATTAGTATTGGTGATAATATTCGATATGGCAAAGAGGGATGCACGCAAGAAGAGATTGAAGAGGCAGCAAAAGCAGCAAATATCCACAATTTTATTGAAAGTCTGCCGGAAAAATATAACACACGGGTTGGTGAAAAAGGATCACAGTTGTCTGGTGGACAGAAACAAGTGAGTATTGTTTTGTTAACCTTTTCTTTCGCTCAATTAATTTTGACATAATTCTCACAATTTCATTAATATTATAGCGTATTGCAATTGCGCGAGCACTAATACGACAGCCAAAACTATTATTACTGGACGAGGCAACATCTGCACTCGACTCTGAATCCGAGAAAGTTGTACAAAATGCATTAGATCGCGCCGCAAAAAATCGAACAACCATCACTATCGCACATCGTTTATCCACAATACAGAACGCCGACTTGATATTAGTGGTGAAAAAAGGTCAGGTGGTTGAGCAGGGAAATCATATGGAGCTTATTGCTCGGCGTGGACTATATTTTGAACTCGTGAATAAGCAGCAGTTGATGAAGAAAGATGATTAATAATAATAATAATTAATATAATTTTTTTGACAAAAATCTATTTATTATTTAATTATTTTTTTTAATTTAGAAGACTCGTATGAACAATTATTTTCTCAGTGTGATCTTAATTTTTCTCGTAATTTTTATAGCATAATTATTTAGATAATAAATAGCAAAAAATGTTTTTCTCTTAATTCTCCCGTAACAAATTTAAAATAACTTCCTCGCCAGCATATAGGCAAAAAAACTAATTTGTAACAAAATACACCAGAGTTTTAACAATACGTAATGAATAAATGGTTCTTAAAATAATGAGTATAAAATCAATTATAAAAATGCGTCCCAAATGAATTTTCGTTCTGAAATTATGCTTATTCTAGAATAAACAAGCTTGAAAGGGAAGATTATTGGCAATTATTATTGGCTTTGACGATGAGAAATACCAGGATTAGCATTTTCATTTCGAAAAAAATCACCCAACACAGTATGTTTTCCGAAAAGCTATCGCTATGTTTTGTTAAAAATATGCATGCTCTACCACGAATTGCGAGTTAAGACACCACTATCGGGCATTTTACATGTATTAATTGGATGCAAGTAATTTCCATTGATTGAACACCAGGCCGAGTCTTTTAGATCAACCAATAAAATGCATAAATTTTTGATCAACCCGACAAAAGAAATCTGGCACATAAAAATTAAAAATGCGAATAATGTGAAATATACGGAAAACGAATGCTTAAATCTGGCTTGAAGCACTAATCAAAAATGCCAGTGAGACAATTTTTATATAATCTTCTTGACTCTAATCCTAACCCTAACGTTAAAACTAACCTTTAATATTCTCAACCAATCAGAACTTGGGGTGGAAATTAGTAAATTCCAAATTTTCAGTACTTTTTTTCGAAAATTTCAGCATTCAACAAAATGTTGGCCAAAATTAAACCGGCATTAAAATGCCAGCCAAAATAAATGTGATGAAAAACGGATTATGGTGAAAAATTGGCCAGAATTATCGATAATTTCTTGTAATAAAAGAGAAATATTTTGAAAATAATATTGCTAAATACTATGTAAATTTATGAGTATAATTGTTATTTATTTATTTATAGTTTATTATAATGGGTGACGTTCAAAATCCCGGCAACCACAGTCCCGATAATACATAAGCCAAACAAACGAAATCCCGAATGCACAGCATACCGAAAGCACGAAATCCCGAATGAACAGCATACTGAAAGCACGAATTCCCGACTGAATAGCATACCGAAAGCACGAAATCCCGAATGAACAGCATACTGAAAGGACGAAATCTCGAACGAAATCCAGAAAGGACAGCATCCCGAATGAACAATATACCGAATGCTCCAGGTTTCCGATTGGTTGAGGATATTAAAGGTTAATTTTAGCGTTGGGGTTAGGGTTAAGTTTAGAGTTGAGGAGAGAGTTATATGTAAAATTGCCTCACCGACATTTTTGATTAGTGCTTCAAGCCAAATTTAAGCATTCGTTTTCCGTATATTTCACATTATTCGCATTTTTAA